GAAGAGCGGGGAAATTATCTCGAGAATAATATGCAGATGAGATTGGATTATGCCGTTCTTACCGATAAGCTTCATAATTGGGTTCGCGAAGCTGAAATTCGACTGGAGAGTAACAAGGAAGGTCTCGATTTTGAAAACATTTTTAATGATCTGGAAGAGCACAAGGTGAGAAATTCTATCTCGCGCTTTATCTTCTCTTTTTTAATTCTATATTTATAAAGCTGGATAATTCTCTCTGTGGATTAATAAGTTTAATTGTCAACGCTTTCTATGTGTGTGTACTTTTTTAGATATACTTTAGCACCGAATCTTCGATACGTGAACTTGTATCGCAACAAATCCAACAAGCCGCGGATAAAATCTGGCCTTCTTTAGACAGTTACGAGCAAGAGGAGCTGAGTGCTCAGCAACAACAGCACACTCAATTATTGAAAAATACCCTCAATACGGCTAAATCGCAACGTTCACGTTTAGAACAAGGTGCAGAGATGTGGAGAGATTATACGCAGAGCTTGGAACGTGTTCGTTCTATTATTAGTAGGACCAGATTTACGGATGAACCAGTCACTACATTAGCTGGATTGCAATTCAATATTCAAAAAATTACGCATGTCTTGAATGACATCCAGGTATGTTAAAAAGCAGCAGAATGCAAACAATTCTTTCCCTTTCTTTTTAATCTTACATTTTTTATACAAAATTTCAAAAAATATTTATATGTGTTTATAGTAAAGTATCTTTTCAGTATAAAATAAATAAAGAAAGTATTTTTAACAAACATTATACTAAATTTTTTTTTATACAATATGTGTTTATCTTCAAGAAAAAGATCATGAAATTATAGAGATTGTACTGTATAATATACTTGATTAATTATTTCTGATGTTTTACTGTTATGTTTTTCGTAGAATCAGCAATTTGAGCTAGATCTTTTGAACGAGCGTGGACAAGAGGTTCTTCAACTTGCAGACACCAATAATAAAAAAGCCATAGAATTGCAACTTTCAGAGATCAGTTTAGAATGGCACGAATTAATATCAGGTTTTGAAGGACGTAGGAATGCTCTCGATGCGCTTTCACAGCATTGGGAAGATTTGGAAACGCAATGGGCTCTAGTCGAAACGCGATTAACTGCAATCGAGGAGAAGAACAAACTTATAGATACAGTGATACGATCGAAGCAACATTTGCACGATACCGTTAAAGCATTGGAAGTAAGTAATGCCTCTTATAATATAATTAATATTATATTATTATAAAATCATAATTTTTCTAATAGAGAAAGAAACCCGCTATATCATCATAAACAATAATAAATGTAATTGTTATAATTGTATGGCATCAGAATAGTTAAGTTTTGCAAACTTAAATTGATTGCGTAAGAATAGCCAAAGATATAGAAAAGTCGATAGTTATTATTATGTGCAGAAATATAAAACTGATTGCAATAATATGTACGTCACGCAAGGCATATTTTTGATCCTTTAAATGGTCCGTGCGGTGTCGCATTTTATGTGAATACATATTTTTATCGATTTGCTGTGAGCAAACGGTATAGAGATATACAATTAGTTCTGTCTTTCTCTCTTTCCGGTGCACCCTTTATAAATGCCAAACGTGTCAGACTAGTACAGCCAGGTACCACAGGTGCTCGGCCCTCCAAAACTATCTATTTTAGTCGCTCACGAATTATCAAACAGTGAACGCTCGTGAAGAATTCGCATGTGTCGGCGGCATTTTTATTTTTATAAAAATATTTATCTCCATAAAGATGCTTTATCACAAATTATTGCTCCAGTTTTGAATTTATTAACGTTTGTTAAATTACAATATTCATTAAATTTTATAATAAACTGCTTTTCGAATTCCTGGTGTAAACTGACCGTCGACAATGTTTAACAAGCTTTCTGGTCTTGTTGCGGACAGGAACTCGTAACGGAAACTGAAAAACTTAAACCCGCAACGGAAGAAGTGAGAAGCTCGGCAGGAAGTGTACTCGCGTATCTCGCAGCGTTTTCAGAAGCGTCGGCACGAAATCTCGAGGAACGCCTCGAAAAACTACAAAAATCCACCGACTTGTGAGTTAGAAAATGCATCATTTTGTTTTTATAAATATCTGCTCAGTATGGACTAGCACCATCTTATATGATTGTTGGGCCAGTCAAGTTAGTCGATGATCGTTCAATATTATTTTAGATAACAGTCAATTTCAACGACAAGTATCAATACGATAAAATTCCAATTAAATAATTATAAAAAATAATAAGAATATAATTCTAATATTTGTCAGAATAATATTTTTATTCTGAGAAAGAAAGAGATTCTCTTCTTCTTTTCTTCCTTCTATATTTATTGTATAATATATGCATTATCAAAATATAGCAAATAATTTTATATTTATACATACTATACTCCGGATTTACAAAGTTAAACTTCTAGATATTAAAATTTTTCTTTTTCGTCGTTACATCATGATTTTGCGAATAGGAAATATGTATTTTCACTATTTAATATCCAATATAAACTTGATAATATTTTAAATTGTAATTTAAGTTTAATTTTCAGTGTAAAAGATTTTATATTACATTTGAATTATTATATTATGTTATTATATGTAACTTTACATTAGTTTATATTATTTATATTAGTCTATAACTTTAAATTAGTGTACGATCTCTTTGATGACTGGCAGTGGTGCTATAGAAGTCCTTTTGCGAGCAGATTAGCATGTGCATGCATAAATGTGCATTTGAAGCTTTTTGCTTATATACGCTTTCGTTTTCCTTTATAAATCCATTTTCTATTTCAGCAATTCTATATTTCATTTTTATATTTTTATTGTATAATCAGCATTTATAATATTTCTTTCAGGTGATCTTACCGTTTTAGTCGCATAACATATTATATTAGATAAAATTAATAATTAATATATATCCAAATACCACATATATATATGTACAATTCTATTTCTTTAATTTTG